AAAAAAGGGAAGTGTAGGGTCAAAAATACACCATTTTACCAACAAAGAGAAAGAATGCTACAGGCAAGTGCAGTTACAACTGACAGCAAAATGACCCAACCAGACATCATGTGCACTAACCTCTGTCCAAACTGGATTCTACTTAAAGAAGAATATAAGAACATTCAAAGAGGAAAACTAGGACATTAAAAGTCTCCTTTGGGGATTTGTCCATATAATAAAGCACAACAAAAATACTTCTGTAGGATTCTATTTCTATCCTGAGTTCCTTGCCACTTATTAAGTAAAATCATACTGTCTGTTTCTACAAAGTCATCCAGGAACTCAAGCAAAACATACAGAGTAGACCCCATATAACTAAAAAGAAGTCTGAAAAATGTTTAGCTATGGAAAGCAATTTGCTGTCACTAATGACGTTAACTAGATGATTTCCAACCATCTCAAGAACCCAATAAATCAAGATGCCCTCAGGAATATGGACTATGAAACCAGGCCCATGTACACAGAGGCAGTAGCTTGTTCTGGACCCGGCTGCAATTCCTGAAACAGTGCTTTCAACTCTTTTTTTTTTCCCAAATGTATTGGACATTTACATTTTTCTTTATTAATATGCCTGATGTGATGGAAACCCTAAAAGCTTTGTTGATTTCACAGGTCACTGTGAACAGAACCAGCATTAGGACAAATTAATCACTGCAGCCTTTTGCTTCTCTTCATCCGTTTTGCTTTGTTTCTGCCCTTGTACATGGAACACCCACCTAATCCATAATATTCTGCTAATTAATCCTAGCCATGAACACTTTTATCCATATGAAGCCTTCCACCTGCCACTGTGACAAAAACAAAGAGTAAATGCCTGGCATAAAGGAGTAAGATCTAGCAGAAACTCGCAACATTGCCTTGACAGAACTGTCCAGTTTAATTTGCATTTCTAGAAACAGCACTCTGTCGAAAAACACACCACCACCACCACCATCCCTCCCAAACCCATTCCATGCATTCTTTATCTAGATCCACCCGAAACACAGCAAACTTTTATTACAAGAGACACCATCGGCAGCACATTCGCTCCAACCAGGGAGGACTGCGGCTGGCAAACAAAATCTGTCAATGCCATGGACTAAAAGCTCTGCAGTGCCAGGCTAAGGAAGTCCTTCCCAAGGAAGGACTGCAGAGCAGACTGCTCTAGGAGGCCATTTTGAAGGGAATATAACCCCCAGGTTTAGCCCTCCTTTTTCTCCCACTCTCATTTTTATCCCTGAGTTTTAGTCAGATCAAGCCACGGCAGCTACCATAGCAGCTACCACAGCTGCTGCCACAACTCCAGGTACTACACAGCAAGTGCTACGACAGTTTTTAGCTGCGGTGACACTCGCAATGGCAGAAGACCCACAAAAAAAACCCTCCCTAGTTAAAAAAACCTAACCTTTTCCTCAGCAATTTCTTCTCCTGAAGCCTGGTATCCTCCCAGCGCTGTCTGCTCCTCCTGCGTGCTGCCGCCCTGCACCATCTGCCAGGCTGATAAGAGCGCTTCTCTTGCCGCCTCAGGGACAGCCATGCCATGCTTCAGCTGGGGCAGCACCTCTGTGAAGCATGGGCTCATGCTTCCTGTGTGGATCTCCAGCAATGGCAGCTGCTGGTGGATGTGCTGTGGTGGCCCTTGGTGCTCATCTCTTGTCCTCGCTGCACAGGGCAGAGACACAAGGCCTAAACACAAGGAGCGTGAATAATGGCTCCCCACCAAGCAATGCCCACTTTAGCTACTCCGCATTTTGGTGTCTTTTTTCCTATTTCTGCCTTTCTTCCTGGGCATTTTTCATCTCCAAGGGTGCCACACACAGCTCTTCTCCCCAGCCACAGCACTGTGCCTCAGTTTCCCCTGAGGCAGCCATGTTATTTTTCCCACCTCAGCCCCTTCACTGTGGTGCAGGGGTGGAGAGGGCCCTGCCATAGCACCATGGCAGGCAGTATGCAAGGACCCCTGAGCAACCCCAAACCGCACACAAGTGAGAAAGCTGCCACGGAAATCTCCTTCACCTTGCCCTGAGGAACATACCAGCCCCTAGACATCACAGAGACTAAGCTGCGGGCTCGGGGGGTAGTGCTCTGTCATCAGCAAAATGGCTGCTGTGGGCAGGGAAAGCACACTGTGAGGGAGACTGGGGGGCACAGGGCAGCAGGCAGAGCTTTCTGCTGCTACAGTGCTGTTTTCTTTCAATGGAAATACTATATTGGTTTAATCTAGGCTTTCATTGTTCAGACACAAAGAACAGTGGAGAGTGAGGGGACCCAGGCAGTGAAGCAGCAATATGAAAGGCAGGAGCTCTGCTTGCCCTAGGTGACTTTTGGGGCTCAATTTGAGGAGCCAAGTGCCCTCGTGGCTTCCTCCACAGCATTTTGACTGAAACTGAAAGGTATTGTGTGTCCCAGTTCCACGTTTACACAGAAATTGGCTTGTCTTTCACAAAATGCCACAGTTCAGGGTGTGCCTGGTATGTACAGTCAAGTCACTGGTACCTGAAAAGATTCAGTGAAGCACCAAAGTTTGAAACAAAATAGCTGAGTATATACTGAAGCCCTCCTTTTAAGTCCTCCGGGAAATCCAATTACGCTTTTAACAGTCATTATACATGCTTAAATATCTGTCCTGTTACATGTGTTACATATGCACACCATCTGCCTGCACATGAACATCTGTGAGCCAGGTTCTGGCCTGCTGGTAAAACACACTGGTATGATTCTTTTATGAGGTTTTTTCTTTGCTTTTGATTATGCTGATATCAATTTAGTGTAATTTCATTAAATTAAGGAGAGCTTTTGTGTTGTTTTTTTTTATTCTAGTGAAAAATCAGGGTGGACTTTTCCGCATTATGAGATGCATATCAACCAGTTCATCCTCACTGCTGCTTGGTTTAAGGCTGCCTAAATTGCATGTAGAAGCATCAACAGCACCAGGGCTGGTACAAAGCACTTACATTGGTGGTTGCTCTATTTTGACACCAGGTAAGATACTCCAGAGGGGAGCTCTTTCTATTGTTACATGAATTGCCAAAATGCTTGTATTGTTCCACAGTTCCATGTGAGGAATGCAAAGGCTTTCCCCCCAATGAATTAGAGTCACCTATAGTAACTTCTGTTAACATTACATTGCTGTATCCTGGAAGCCTTATTATGAACATAAAGAAATTAAAAATATAAATTACCTGCTCTTTCAGTGCCCCACAGATGTTTTATTTTTCTATTAATCAGCCTCTGTAGGACCGATCAAAATCAGGCTGAAAACCCCGAGCACAATATCTCCCGTTTTCCCTTAATTCTGTAAATCTAACCTCCATTCTTTCTTCTGCTCCCATACATGTTCATTCCCTCTCTTTCCTTTTTTTTTTTTCCCCTGGGTATACATTTTCTTTCTAAATTATTCCTCATTCATTCTATTTCTAGTCTTTCTTCACCATGTATTCTGGTCTTTATTTGTCTCTTTGTCTCATGCTTTTCTCTATGTGAACCCCATTTTCATCATGGAAATCAGCGTAAAAGGGAGACACTTTGCTTCGTCATTTTTCATACACAAGTGCACAGAGTTCAAACTAGGAAAATCAGTAATAACAATTTATTTAATATAATTTCTTTAGTTCTTACTTTGAGTCTTGTGTAATTGTTTTTTGCCAATCAACAGTCTTGCAATTTTTCCCTTATCTCCTTGTTATTACATATACAGTACATAAACTTTGTACTTGCCCTTACAGCTACTGAATAATTTGCACACAGAAAATCAGATACAGGCACAATTTGAGGAAAAAAAAAAAAATCTCAAATCAGGATTATCCTTATAAGGTTTATATTTCATTATTTCTTTACATGAGTTTCTTTACATCAGGTTCTCTGATAATCCAAAACTGATGGAGTAGCCATTTGCTTACATCCACTTTCTGAGTATCTGGGGCTACTATACCAGTAGCTCAAGGTGGAAGCTAACTACCATATGACAAATACAAAAGAAACAGACTGTTTGTTAGTTGTCCATTTGTTAGCACAAGTTACTAAAGATTACACTGTGCTAATTCACAGCCCCAGACCAGTGACTCTTAAGAGCTTTACCCTGGAAAACCCTCACAGTAATTATAACTGTTTCCTAAACAGCCCATGAGAACTCACCCTACCTTAGGAAGTACGTCACAGGAGAAGCCACTCACAATCCTAAACTCTAATCTGTGAAGTTTTGCAGTTCCCAGAAAACTAGACTGTCCTGTGGAGCTCAGACGGATGTGGTGGAGGTGCCTGAATGAAATAGTCTGATAACAGACTGAAATCCCTAATCCTGCAAGTCATTTAATTGCAGTGTTTCCTGTTCAGTTCTGCCATTTGCTCTTCACAAATCCAGTTATTTTCAGATGTATTTGTATTCTAAATAGTGCATGGTCTGATAGCGACATTGTCATAGCACTATTACATGCATGGATGCGTAACTGTTTCTATCCTTTCACAGTAAAGTTTTTATATAGAATTGGCTGTAAAACCCCACAACTGTGGTTTATTTATTTATTGTGGCAAAGCCTAATAATTCACATAGAACTGTGATTAATCAAAGGACCTTTATTATGAAAATAAATCCTAGTAAGAATGGCTTTGCCAGGCACTTTGCAATTAAAGATAAAACTATCCAGAAGCGAGAAATGTAACATGTAAATGGAATGAAGCTACAGAAATGGAAATTGTCATATGTGAGGTAGAAGAAAGACTCATAGAGCTTGAAGCACTGAAATTGAAGGGACACGATAATCTCTGTCCCTGTGTTCTGAAAGAACTGGCACATAAAATTGCATGTCCAGCAGCAAGGATTTTTAATAGAGCTGCCAACTGGTAGCATATTGCCAGTGAAAAGCAAACCTCTCGCCTGTATTTCAGAAAGGGGAAGAAAGGACAACCAGAACACATTAGAGTGACCTCTACAATATTCAAGGCTCTAGAAGACATTTTTAAGAAAATGTCTACGTAAGTAGACATAAATGGAAAATGGGATAAAATGCAACTTAAGTTTACCAAAGGTAAAGCGGCTTGAGTGAATATACTTCTCTTGATTAAAACCACTGTTTTAATCAGTAGAATGTGTTGTAGGTACTATCCATTAGGCTTCTGAAAAGTATGGATTTCACTGTGATTCTTAAAGGATCACTGTTGGAATCTGTCTTACTTAATTATTCCAGTAATGACTGTGACACAAAGAGAGTATGCTAATGAAATTTGTAGAAAGCAAACACTAAGAGATATTGCTAATATAGAAGAGGATTAAAGGCTCATATAGGAAAGGAATAGATACTGTGACAACTGTAATAACAGAAATGGAATGAAATTTAACAGCATACAATGTATGTATGAAAATACAAGAGCAGGACCTCAGCACTTGGAAACCAAACAAGGAAGAGATCCATTAGTTGAAGACAGGCTACTTATGAGTCACTACTGTGAAGATAGCTGTGGAAAAGCTAAACACAATCCTAAAATGTTCCAGGTTTGGTATTGCTAGTAGATAGATGAAAATATTAAAACCATTGTACAAGGCATTCCCGAAATCTCATGTCAAATATTCATTTTTACTCTCCATGTTTGACTGCTTGGACAGGTGAAAGAGACTGCTATAAAAATAGGAAAGCTTGTCTTAGTTGAGATAATGAAGATAGCTCAGCTTCTTTCCCCAGGCTTATTATCAAGTAAGTAGCAATCTATAATACTCACCAGTTCACCACTGCAGTACAGATTTGTACAGTACAGACATGTACAGATCTGCTATTAAAGAGCAAGGAAGCCTTTGGATGTCTTCCAGTAAATATTCTGTGAAAATTCCTGCTAACTGCAAATAACAGTAACTATCATTAACACTTCAACCTTTAAGAATACAGTGTGCTCAAAAAATACCAAACTTGCTTGGTTTTGCATAAGCTCTGAGGCAAAGAATGCTAAAATGAAATACAAATATTGTAAATATGCAATTTCAATGAACTGAGTAGATACCCGCTTTAGTCAGGAACACTTATCACGATGTGAATTTATTAATCCACTTTAGTATGTGTAGCCATGTCAGTGTTTATCAAAAGATAACTCTTCTGTTAAATATATATGAGAATGTTTACCATAGTATTGCAAAACAGCATGCTCCAGTTCAGCATTTTCAGACTCGTTATCCATGGAAAACAGGAGCCATATGTTAAGAGACTGGAGTCCTAATAAACTTTAAGACAACAGTAATGTTGTGTGTGAACTGATTAGAGTGTGAAATCTGTGGGCTCAATCTACTTTGAAAGCTCTTTCAGGAATAAAGACATTTCTGGTGGTAGAGGCTGAGGATGCCTGAGGTAAACCTCAGCACACCCTACAGCATGTTATGCCTAAGTGGGACACTGTGCATGAAACACACTCCTCGTGCTGGGGTCAAGGCAGGTGTACCTCGCCTCCTCCCAGAAATTCAACTGCTGTCCTCAGTTTAAATGTGCCACAGAAGTAATTTTAATAAGACTTTAACCCTCCAGTATTTTATTTTAAATAATAATGTGAGTGCTTGCTGGTGCTGTTACTTCAAAGATGAAGATACATACATAGAAAGACCACTATTGCACAGCCAAAACTAGGGATCACTAACAGAGGTCATTTCTCACCATAGCAATGACTTCCCACCACTGCTGCCCTTCTATTTCCTTTTATTTCATATGTATATTACAGGCATGGAAATAAGCATAAGTCTAAAAGGTTTCAAGCAGCCACGTCACATCTGTGTACTGGATGGGTGAAGGCTGCATGGTCTGCTGCTGGGCATTCAGCTGCCCTTTCATTTCTTCCTGCTGTTGTTGAGAGCCTGAGTGTGTTTATGACTGCCATGGCTGCCCAAAGCATGGAGCTTCAGAGAAGCTGGATCTGATAGCAGAGCACCAGCCTGCTGCTGAGGAAAAAGCTAAAGAGGGGCTGCCCGGAAGAGCCACTGCCGTGTAGGTCAATCTTTCCAACAGCACAACCCTGCAGGAAAAGGCAACCTTTTGTGACAGTTCAGTCCCACAGCTCCAGGGAAACTGAAGAAATGATTCGGTGTCTTTTTCTATTTGTTTTCTGGAGTTGATCAAATTAAACTTTCCTGACTTAAAATCAGTTTTGGTTTAGATTCAAAAGAAATCTGCTAACTACCTGTGGTCTGATTCTTTTATTTTTATGCTTCATAATAACTTATCTTACAAATAGTTCCATTTATTATGATGAAAGTCAGTCTATTTTTTTGGTCACAAATTACGAAATGCCAAGAAAATTTGTCTCTTTTGTTTCCCTTTTGCTTCCACAGTGAAAATACTTTAGTATGGCTTCACACCAGTGTCCTCTTATCATAGTATCTGCCAAAGCTGCTGGTCAGCCCTCTGCTACTTTCACATCTTCTTTGTTCATAACCTCTGATGTCACAGATGATTTACTGTCCACTCTTGAATAAGTGGACTCGTTTTGAACGTGCTGCATCAAGGAGGTAGAAGAGAAGGATGCCCTATCAATGCATTCATTTTATAGTCTATTCCATTTTGTTAGTGGACTTCAAGGTTTCAGTAGCCAGCGGAGGTATCTTATCAACACATTTCATGCTGGAAAGAGAAGGGCAAGTTGTCTTAACTTACCAAGAAAACAAGTCTGTCAGGGGAGGAGAGCTTTAATTCCTCAATTTGGAGACAGGCAGACATTCTTTCAACTCATCTTTTTATGTTTATATTTTCAGAAGTCCTCTCCAGTGAAAATACCTCAAACATATGTATATTTACATATAGTGTACATATATATTCAAATAACCTGGGAAAATTCCATTGTTATTGTCTATAGGAGAATTTTAAGGAAATACATGGAAAAGCAGCAATGCTCCTGAACAGCATTCTTCACTACACCTGGCTGGAGTCAGCTAATGCAAATTCATCAATGCTAGTGCTCGCTTCCTCTGCCCCACTACAAACCACAGTTTGATATATGGGGCTAAGAAGCCAGCAAGAAGCTTTTATCACCTCACTGGGAATCTATCAACCCCCAGAATCATGTCCAAAAAGCAGCTGATACGCTATTGGTATGAATACCAGAAACCAATTCCAGCGTGCATGCCACAGCTTCATCGTCACTATTCTTGCCAGTTCTCTCTAAAAGGCAAATATTTTGATGATAGTCTCCATGCTATGCTGATAAGTAACCACTTGGTCATTTCATTTTCATTTGCTTCACTGATGTATCTGTAAAGAGTCCAAGCTGAAGAGAAAGAAATTATGGCAAACAGCTGGTTTTATTTATTTTGCGTTGTTTAAGCTACTTCAGATATTCTGAAATCTAATTCAGATGTGAGGTGGAGAAACACAGTTAGAAAACGTAGGATATATACCAGTGTTGACAATCACAAATGGAATCCTGCCCACAGCAAGTATACTTGATGTTTGTAGTAGTCTTTCAGCTGTCCCCTGCCTCATCCATCTATTAGCATTGCTTCAGGGTTGCTGACAAGGTAATATGACAATTTCAGCACAAAGTAGGTGCTAAGCAAAGATGACTCTAAACAGGCCACCTACTTACAGTGGTGAGCGTGACTGCTTCTGCCTGAAATCCTTTTTTGCTGTTTAGGAGAATTCAAATGTGATTTTGTGTTCTTTGTATCTAAGAGAGTATGACAAGAACTATAGCTGAGGGGAAGGAGAGTGAGGACATTGGATTAAAACTGTGTTTATTTCTCTAGGCAGAAGGCTGACTGACAAGCCTAGTGGTATCCAGGCTAAAACCCGCTAGATTTGGGGGCTTACTAAAGTAAAATGGTGGTGTAACTAAGGCATCCCTGCAGCTGCCAGAGCACTACAGAGTGGACTATTTGGTTTTCAGGGCTTTTTATGAATGCCTAAGAAGGTGACCTTCTAAAGAGACAAAAGATTTCTTCTGAAGGGATAATTATTCCATTTCTTAGACAGAGGAATATAAGGAAACAATCAGACTTTGATGACACACTGATCCTTATTTACTACAGATTGATGGAACATCTTCCACAGAAGGCTTTTAACATAGATCTGTTTGTTCTAGATAGGGATTTTTAAACACTCCATCACTTATTCGGGGAAATGGTCTGTGTGTGTTTATGTCTGTCTCATTCTCTTCTCAATACATTTTATTTCCTCCTTATATGGAAGACATTAATGCAGAGTAAGAACTGTTCTGTGTTTTGTTTCCTTGCTAGGGTTCATTTCTCTCCTGGTACTTCTGGTACTCATGAAATAACCACATCACAGACTTTCCAGTTTAATCACTATTGCTTTTCTCTTAAATAAAGATCTTGTTACAGTAACATACAGCCGTTGTACTAATAAAGTTTCTGTTGTTAATATTTAAGAACTGAGATTCTTGTTATGTATTAAAAAGATCCACAATTTTAAGTACTCAAGCTTTATTTCAGTTGTGTTTGTTAAAGAAACCAGAAGTACTTTATATAACTTTCATAATTTTTTAAGATTCTAAACTCCTGTATGAACTCAATCCAGTTTTCTCTGATCACAGCATAGAGTTTCACCTTTTTGATACAACAGATGAAAATCAACATCTAACTGTGTTCCATTTAAAACTTGTGTAACCAGAACAAAAAAATTCACTCCAGTGGAACTGCTGTTTGAATTACTGAAGACAACATCTTAAAGTAAAGGAGTTGACACTGAAAAAGAACTGAAAAGGTGAATCTGTTTATATCAGTTTAAACAACTTAACTGGAACCAGGCTTAAAAATGGTGTAACCCAAACACAGTTTAGCCATTTCAAATCTGAAGGCAGATATGATCTCATCAAATTGAACTGTTTCTATACTGCACTTTCCCTCACATTTAAAACACAATATTTACTACAGTACAATTTCACAGTGATTAGAAAGGTAGAAAATAGTCTACAGAAGCAATCTGAAGAATTTTATTAATTGTAATGTGGGCTTGCTTCGGGCAGGATTAGACAAGTGCAAAAGCACGTCAGCAGAGAGCTGAACCTTGCAAACCTGTGACATACCATTGATGGATATGCTACTGCATATGGATGGTGAAAGGAAGATTTTGTGGTACAGATCAGGCAGAGAATGTTTTAAGGGCTTTGGTGATTTTTATAAGGAGCTTCTAAATATAAGAATGGCTATAGAAGAAATCAAGAAGGTGTGCTATCAGTGCCACTTAGTAAAATGATGTTCTGGGCCAGGTGAAAGTGACAGTCCGCATCTTGACAGTGAATGTGAGCTGATAGCTATGACTGGGATAAAATGTGAAAGGGATCCTTCTTCCCTTGTGAAAGGGGAGCAAAGCAGGATGTAATTAATGCAAAAGAGAAATAAGAGGAAGGCAAAGATATGCACAACATAATCCAGAACAATCCCTTCTGAAGGTTTCTGAGTGTGTAAAAGTGGGAGAAGATTGCACATGCGGAGTTCAGAGGAAAGGGTACTGGCACAATCCTAATCTAGATGGGAGGGGAAGGAAGGTTTTCTCATCTTGTGGGTGGAGAGAAGAGACATACATGACTGCAGAACAGTGCGGAGATAACCAAGCTGTATTTTAATGAACAAATACCCCAGGGATGTGTCAGGAGATGAAAAGAGAGTCTTCCCAGCAACAAGCCAGGGAAGGAGTACTGATGTTCCTTGGCAGTTTACTGAAGACTTCTTGCCAGCCTATGGGCTACACCTGACTTGAGCAGGGGATCAGCAAGGGATCAGAATTAACCCGCAAGCTCATCTGGAAGTACAGGAAGCCTCAGTACTCTCCCTGTAACTTCAAAAGTGAATGATGGCAGGAGAATAGTTACCAATCCACAGGTGGAGCATTTGAAGCCTAGCTAGTGCTCCTTGGACAGTTCTGCCTGTGCAGGTAAATGTCCTCATGTTGATTATACCATAACTGATAGCCATAAACATGGAACTAATCATCTGTAATGTAGAAGAGCTGATAACACTATTGCTGTGTCCATTTTAATATAATGACTTATGGCAGTACATAACAGACACTTCCAAACTGCAAAGATTGTTTTTACAAGGATTTTATCTTCATTTGTGATGTCTTAAAATTTCCAAAGATATTCCTCAATGTTTTGCGTAAAGTCCCCCATTTATTTTGAACCAAGTTTGCAAATATTTGTTAATAGAGCTCTCAGAAGGAACAAATCTCTTGATTATGTTGCTATTGCTCTGTGAAATGTCAGATCTAAGCAGAACAATTTCCTTGCCAAAAAACATTTACTGCAGAAAATGTTAGCTGGGAAGTCTGAAAAGGAGATAAAAACCCAACCCAATTTTCTGCTATTCAGTTTAAAGGCAGACAGGCTTTTGATTTGCTCTCTTTTATTGATATCCTTGTTTTTATTCACTGTTTCACATTCAAGGCAAACTGCATACCAAAACGTTCATACACTTCATATAGTTCAGAAGTTGGAAAGAAGTGGAGGCATTATTGCTATTGATTTCAGTAACATGAATTCAGCAGGTTGCTTTGTTTTCATTTTGGCAAGATAATAATTCTTATAAATGCTATTTCAAGACAGAACTCTGTCCCCACTTTATGTTACACTCCCACCATATGTTACATAAAATGCTAAACAGAGTAAGTTTTAGAGAAAAGTCTTTATTGTGCCTCATTTTCTTTCAAATATGACTAAAGGAGAAAATGATAATAGACACAAAACTGCATCCACATTTAATTCTACATCTCATTCCAAATATGTATTTCAAAATTGTTCAGTCTTGCCGTGTGATGGTCTTGCTGACGGTGTGTGAGATGCTAACTCAAATGTAGGTATGAACACATCACAGGATTGGAATAGCAGCATTCTTTGAGCTGTCTGCAGAAGTAAATACCTACCTCACAAGCAAAGTAAAATGTTCACTTTCCTACAAAAAGAAAGTCTAGTTATGTTAAAAACAAACTATATGGAGAGTATAAATCCTGAGTGCTTAGGTGAACATTGTTCAAAAGAAAAATCCATATGACTTTGAAAGACTGGTCTACCTTTTTCAAAAGAGAAGAGAAATATTTTTGAGTAAATGTCTTGAATAATAGTATTATGTGATTCAGAATAGAAAATTACAGGCAAAATTGTACAGAGCTTACCGTTCTCCTCCACTGCTTAAGTAGCCAAATGAACACAGATTGTGTATCTATGGAAAAATGAAATGACAGCTTTTTAAAACGTGTCATCCATCCCCTTCCATTCTACAACTAAATATGCACATCTTCAAAATACAGCAAAAGATATGGAGCATAAAATTAGGAATATATTATCTGTCTATATTTAAAACAGAATCAATATTTAGAACCATTACAGGAACATCAAGGCGCTGGCACAAGCGAGCAGCACTTCAAGGCTGTGTTTAAGAGTAGCTTCTACTGCAGGCCTATCAACCAAGTTTCCTTTTTCAACTAGGAAGAAACGATAACATTTACAGGTCAAATGTTCAGATATATTTAGCCATGCACATGAAGCTGGCTTTCTAGATAGTGTTTAGAAGTCTTCTGGGGAAAATGGTCTGCAGTGGAGGACAGGGAGCTGATTATATTTGCATTTGCATGTGTGCTTTGCTGCCTGCCACTCAGAAAAGGAGGTGCTGTGCATGGAATCTAGCACCTGCTTTCTACAGAGCACTACTGTAGTCTCTCTTATGTGACCTGCTGTGTGCCTGGGCAGATTCGGCCTTTCTCCTGCACGGGATGCCTGAATGCATGGGTGCAAAGGCACAGCTGAGAGCCTTGCACAAACAGCAGCTACCAAAGAGTCTGCAACTGCAATAGCAAAATCTGCAGGCTGGCTGATCTGGGGATGTTGCGCACTTGAGGATTTGAGTCTGAACTGTTTTAAGAGCAAGTCTGAGCTTGTATGCTGGTACTGCACTTACGAACTCATCTCCCCAGGAGACTCAATCCTACTGGAAACCTGCAGAACTCAGATGCAAAGTTACGAACTCATCTCCCCAGGAGACTCAATCCTACTGGAAACCTGCAGAACTCAGATGCAAAGTCCAACAGGATCTCTTGCAAAGTGTAAAGGCTGAATCCAGGCTGAGGCTTGGGGGCTTGCAGGGCACAGAACACTTAGCTGGGTGCTCACTGCTCAGGCAAACTAGACTGTTGCCAAATCTCTTAGAGGTCCTGCTGTGCCAGGGGCTCACACACCCCCTACACCCCCCACCCCCCACAGCCCCCCCAATACTGAGGGTGCACCCAAGTTTTGCAGGAAGGTTTGCTCCAAGGGAAGGACTTCTGCAAGGCTGCCGCAAAACATACTCTGTTGCATGTTAGAGTTGTTTCAGAGCAGCAGATAGATGTTACCTGCTTCTCTTGGAACTAACTGGTAAAAAACTGCACAGCCACTTGGTGGTTTATCTTTATGGTATACTCTTTAATGTAGAAGAAGCTGTTGGCACCTCAGGATTTTAAAACAGAATTAGCTATTGCACATGTGAGAAAAAAACCAGCACTGTCATGCTTTACGTTGCACAGTGAAGAGTTTTCTCCTGGTAATGGGCTACTGTGTAAACCATGGTTTTGTAGCTACCAGCAGTAACAAATAACAAGTACTTTCTAAGCAATACTGAACTGGAGCATTCCTGTGTTTCTAACTGTAAACCTGTCTTTGTTTTCAGAGAAGAAGGAATTCTGAGAGAAGGAGACAGGTCTTTCCAATGACATATGCTTTCTGCCTTCATCTCAGTACCTTGTTTTGAAAAACAGAATGATGAAAGCAGTCTTTTCATTCTGCTGAGGCAGATGCTCCTGATCAAGAGAAGCATGCTGCAAATTAGAAACAAAACGGAACTGAAACCCTGTGCACATTACAAGTAAATGCATGAGAGGTATGAAAGTGAGTGCAAATGTTAAAGGGGCAAAAGGGAAACCTGTCACTTAAGGCAAATTGTAAGGGATACTGCTTTTCTGTTCCATGCACACCCCACCTGTCCAGAATTCCCCATCTCTGCATGTACGGGCACAGGGAAATGTATCCCTCCTACTCTTGCAGAAAGAGCCTTTTCTCTTTATCTCCAGCCCCCATGGCTGAGGTCTGGGTCCAGCCTGCACCGAGGGGCTGCAGGGGGAGGTGAGCAGGTGCAGCCGTTCCTGGCTGAGGGAGGGGAGCCCAGCGAGGGCAAGGCACCTCCTGAGCCGCAGGGCATTCCCACCCGCTGCCATGGGCTCTCCTGCCCCGCCCGCTCAGGTTGCTACATGCTGGGGTAGCAGCGGCCATGCCCTATATAAGAGCCCTGAGGCGCTGGCCCAGCCATTTCAGGGTGATTAGCTGGGACGGGTGTGCCATGGAGGCAGAGGAGGCAGCAGCTGCGGCAGCGAAGGCAGCCCTGCGCACACCCAAGTGCTCCCGCT